TCTTCACCTTGCTTTTTCTTGAATCTGCTTCATTTTCCTTTTGACTGATGCCTTATCTGAGTTCAAGAAGCCTCCTAAAAATCTCTAATTGAACTGCATGGGCTTACTGCTGCTGATGTGGCCTCCCTTTCTCTCTCGCTTAGCTTGATTGAACGTTTGAGCTTAACAGAAGCATGAACATTCAGGGATAAAATAGAGAGAGCGGTGCATATAGCAATGAGCAGGGTCCAAGGTAAATAGAGAAAAAACACACATAAGTGACATCAAGGTTTGGAGAATGGCAATGTTAATGTAGTAGTTTAATGTTTATATTTATTTGTTTGGCAAAAGCAAAAAAGTTGTATAGCGATGAATTGTTATCAGGATTACTTTCACATGATTTTGCTTAGGGATGTTCATTTCAGTTATTTTTCCTAACCTACAACCGACGCTCGTTAACAGTTTATTAACCGTTAACCGACAAGATTATTCTAAATTCGAATTGAATTAAATTAGAAATGATAAGTGCCTGTGACCCGTTAAAAATACTAACATTTGTTTCCCGGGGATTCATTTTACATGCGCAAAAAGCAGCAAACAACAGAACATGAGGATTCACATGGTCCTATCATAGCCTATCACATTAGGCACCTGCAACGCTTCTGCCAGCGGAGAAAAACATAATAAATATATATATAATGAATAAATAGGCCTATACGAGAAACATATTTTTACTTAAATAATAAATTAAGAAAATGAAAGAAAAACTGTCCAACAAGTAGCCTAGTAGGCTATGCAGAGTTTCGGTTCATTTTTGTGTTGCGCGAAAGGAAACAGATGACAGAAAGCGGCATCCTATTTTTCTTTAGGCTTATTTTACAAAAGCACAAAGATTTGTTTTTATTGTGAATGTACACAAATAAAGGCAAACCTTTTACAATTCCAATTATCTTTGACTAAAAGGAGTAGTTGCTTCCACTGTTAGAAGGAAAAAATTCAAGTGATTGCGCCGGCGCCGCATGCGCGTACACAGTTAAGCATTGCTGCCTTGCCAATGCAGCCTGTTCATTATCATAATAAAATACAGTCACTCAAACATATGGAAAAAAAAACTATGTCGTAAAATCTGTGCCGTTAAGTGTTATCACCGCACTGCCGTGATGTTATGCAAAACATTTTGTTTTACGTGGATATTGGAACGCGAGTGAAACAGGCTACATAATAAATAATAATTTGCCATTCAAATACAGCGCGAATAAAGAAACATTTGATTTTGTGTGGAATGAGAGACGCAATGTTGGTTTCAGAAAGCACCATGACATCAGGCCACCCTACACTTTTTAAATGATATATAGCCTATATAAATTATTGTAGTTTGGGGAATTCTAGTTATAAGTTATACATAAGTGACATTGACATCAAAGCTTGAAAAGATGTAAACGTTATGCTCTACAACCCTGGTGTTTTATCATCTAAGAAAAGAGACGATTTGAACACTGATACAGCAAAGAATCTAGTGAGAATTTTTCAGTTGCTCTGGGGACGTGTGTGTGCGATCCTGAGAATGATGCCCTGCTGGTGCTGCAATAAAACCTTGTAAGAAGTCAAAGAAAACTCTGTCCATTAATAAAGCAGGATAATTGACAGATGAACATGATTCTTGCTTCACAAATGGAGGAGGAACAAAAGAGAAACTTGGAGAGGAACAGCAGTGAGATAAGAAAGACATGGAGAGATAACTCAAGCCCCTTAGACCACTTTAGTGACATAATGAGAGCCTGCTTTTCTGTCTTTCTCTCCCTCTTCTTTTATTTGTCATGTGATCTGCAGGGACGGGTGAGTCAATGCATTCCATGGCTGTACATAAAGGGGGTATATTTTCGGGCTGCAATTTGAGCGATGATGCCAGAGTTGGTCTCTAGCTGCACCCTCGTGCTCCCCACCCGCCGAACTTCAGATGGATTCCTGAGCCGCAGGCAGAGGCAGCTACTGCTTAGCCCACCAGTGACTGAAACCTGATACCTTCAGTGCAGAGCACAAGAGAGTCCGCTAAGCTCTCCTTTTTTATCACGTTAGGGCAGGCTGCTATTTATTGTCATCGGTGTGGGTGTCAGTAGTTTTGCTGGAGGACATTGTTATTAAAAGGGTATGTGATGTGTGTTGGTGTGAAGTTTTTTTTTTTTTTTTAATCTATTTTGTAAATGCAGACTTCATAAAAATATGTTAGATAACAGGAACTTTTCTTTAAATAGGATATTCTTCTCTCTTCTTTCCTCTTTCTCTCCATATATCCTTCATGTCTCTTCAGCTATCGTACCTCCCCTGCCGAAAATACTGTCTTAAGGTTTTGATATACTTACATGAAGTTCTTTTTAGTTCTTCGCTTTGGGATAAAAAGTTTGAAATGCCTAAGCAGCAGTATTCTGTTAGTGAGCATCTCAACAATAAAATATATCAGGGCCTATCATGTTGCTTACTGCTGATTTGGGTCTGGTCTAGCTGATGAACTAGCAAAACTTAGCTGGGGAAGTTGGTCCACCATTGTCTTGCTGCAGAAGCTAGTTTCCTAGGTAGTGTAAGCTAATTTACCCGCCAGAACAGAACATATGCTGGTGAGTAGCCAAGCAGGGGCTGAGTGTGGCTGAGCTCAGAAATAATTAACTAGCTTCAAAAGGTCAACAAAAGTTGTGGTGGTGTTTATTTTGCCTACGGCCTGAGACTGTAGGATAGGCTGCAGCATTCCGCGACCCCACCCACCCAAATACGACAAGTGGCTTGGAAAATAATTGTAAGGATGGACAAATTTCACAGGTCTTTTTTAACAGTACACCATCTTTACAAACAAACATGCACACATATGCCAGTGAATTGCTTAAAGCAAAAAGACATTTAAGATTTCACTAAACTGCTGATGTATACTATCAATCAAATTCACTGCAGTTTCATTGCACTGAGCCATGTGCCGATTGGCCATCGGGAGAACCGGGAGAATTCCCGGTGGCCTGGCAACCGATTTGGCCCGCTGCCCTGTTTTCATATATATATATATATATATATATATATACTGTATAATTCCCTGCCGAATGTACTAAAGCGATTATTTCCGAATTCGCCATTAGATAAAAAATATCCAATAAATCACCAAATAGTAGTCGTGACTGGCAACGCTATGCTTCTGCCAAATGGTTTTGATCAGAGTGATCAATGTGAGAGACTTGAGAATGGAGTGGAAGCGCCCAGGTGGAGCAGAGAGGCAAAACTGCTGACCTGTTCAGGTGCAGGTCAGTTTCATCTGTTAATAGGATATTGTAGTTTTGTCTTTCTTTACTTATTCAGGCATTAAACTGCTAGCACCTTTTAGCAGTAGCAACCCATTTCTCATCACTCAAAACACTGTCTGCTAAAGGACATCATTATTATCAATCATAATGTTACAGAAGTAATTTAGCAGACAAATATTCACATCGTTTATAATAGGTTTAGAAGGAGCTAGGGCAGACAACAACACAACCATTACAAAAATTGGTTACTTTTACTTTAAACAATGGTTAATTTTCGTATGGGAAAAAATATGACTCATTATAATGCAATGACATCAGTATTAGGATTTTACTATAAAGATATTATAATGATGTAATTGTTATTGTAATTTGACATTTAGGCAATTTAGAAAATATCAGGAGAAATGAAGAGACTGAAACAGGGGCGGTTCTAGTATTTCATCCACAGGGGGCTGAGCCCTCAGACAGACTATTAGATACAAAGATTCAAATTACCTAAACTTAACAGTGCTTATGAAAACTCTATTACTCTATGAAGTAAATATACACAAAGCTACAGAAGTTACTTAGTTAAGAAAAGAGCAGTGAGTGATTGTCTATTTTTCTTTTGTTGTTTGATTAACATTAACATAAGAAATGTGTATTGACATACATCCAAAATTTTCTGAACTGTTTACGTTTACTTAAGACGTTACCGACTGTGTTTACTTGGACACTGGTCAAGACAGCAATTCTGACATAATTTTGTATGTATTTGCTCAAGAAGACATGAACTCGTTACTTGCGTGCATTTTGTGTGTGTGTGTGTGTGTGTGTGCGTGCTTCACGTGTGTGCGTGCACAGAAACGTGCGAGTACCGCATTGAGATCTCTTTCGCGCTGTCTTGGGCTTGAATGGCTTAAATCACTTCAATGTTTAAACTGACAAGACTTGAAACATGTGAGAATGATGAACCTTCTTGAGGAAACTTCACTGGACCAATCATTCAGAAAGCTGATTATAGTTTTAAGGGGGCTGAGACAACAGATAGGGGGGCTGAAGACCACGTAAATAAGGTCTAGAACCACCCCTGGACTGAAAAGGAAAATGGGAGTGAAGGTGCCGTTCAGGAGAGAACTTTTAATTATTTTGCATGTCCCCAGCCTAAGGATTTTTAAAAAATGTATGTGATGGCCATACAAATTAAAAAAAAAATTTTTAGGGTGTATGGGATGGCCTGGATGAGTGTGAGATTTCCCGGCCTGAAATGTTGTCCCAGTCTGTCCGTGCACTGAGCCATTCTTCCCATTCACTATACTGTATGAGATATCTGCTATGTGGATTCATTGATTCATACAGTACTTGGTCATTTTGGGATTGACATCAGTAGCAGTAACAGAAATCTTCCTCCCTCATCTATCTGTTCCTGAATAGCAGCTTTCATAATAGAAAAGGGTAATAGAAATGTAATACTTTTATTCATCAAGGACGCATTCAATTGTTTAAAAGTGGCAAAGACTTTCACATTGTTACAAAAATATATGTTATTATTTTGAAATTTCTGTTCATCCAAAAAGGAAATTGAAAAATTCAAAGAAATATTAAGCAGCGTAACACAGGATTTGATTCCTTTGGTTTAAGTTGCATTATATTGTAAATCTCTAAGCAAATTCCTCTGAGTAAAGCCTTTAGTTTTTATCATCTCTATAATGCAGTTTTTAATCTTTGTGTATTTTTCGTGTGTGTGTTTTTATCTACTAGGTATGACATGTGGGGGCGAGCTGTCATTCACCCTGGAGCCCAGTGACATTATTGCTGTTCAGGAACAACCTCTGATGCTGCACTGTCAGGTGGAGGGGATCCCACCCATCACCACACAGTGGAGGCGCAACGGAGCTCTGATAGTGGAGGACCAAAACTATGTCATGTTTGCTAATGGCTCGCTTCTGATTGGTCACTTCCAGAAGACCAAGTCTGATGGCTCATCTGATGAGGGAGACTATGAGTGCATAGCCCAAAATTTCTTTGGGTTGGTCTTGAGCCGCAAAGCCAGAGTTCAGGCTGCTAGTAAGTAGCATTTCAATGCGTTTTAATTCTGAGAAAAAAACCTTGCTCAGTTCATACTCCACTAATCCCACCTGTTCATTTTTTCAAAGGCTTTTTAATGGTGAATTTAATGGCTTTTACAGCTACAGTTACATAACAACACTTAATATTATAATAATTGTAATAAATAACATCATAATAAAGAAGTAATATCATAAGAAAAAAATAAAACTTGCAGCTTTTTCTGTAACTCAAAAATCAGATGGTGTTAACATTACCATCTTAACACTTTCCATCAAGGAAAGTCCAAGGACAAAATATTATTATATTACATGACATTGTATTATATTATGTTAGTATAAATTTGTTGTGTTGGTGTAAAAAACATTTCAAGTTAAAGTATTATTGGTGTCGTTGTTTCACCCTTGGATGAGTCTCCATCTCAAATGGGCCACCCCAGTGAAAAATGTCTAGATACGCCACTGCCAGCAGATATTGGTGCTGTTAGATTGTCCCGAGAAGCTAAAGTGAGTTTGATAGAAGCCACTGCCAGCTCATTTGCAGTGCGCTTTGGGTCTTTCACAGAGCGTACCGTGTTCGAGCACGGCGTGGCGTAGACTCAGGCTACATTAACTTTGGATGAACTGAACACGAGGGACACAGGGGGCTGGGACAGGCCATTTGATATATGGACAATGGACTCCTTCTATTTCTGAAGATAAATTGGCTTGTAGGATCCAGTCTGCCTTTTGTGCGCTGCTGTGGCACTCCCGGTCGTGCTTGTGTTGTGATTTATATTACTAAATCTCTGGCTCTTCTATTGAACTTAACTATTAAACCCGGCCATGCTGTGTGCTTTCCGCGCCGCTTTTGTCGGCATCACAATAATCTGGAGTGCTGTTAGTTGTCCACTTGCTGGTCACAGGCACCAAGGCTAAAGTTGCTTTTCTAGTCGTCCATACCCACCGTGGCCCCGTATGAATCGGGCCTTGTTTCCGTCCAGTGCTGAAACTTTGTTACTGTATTGTGCTTATGATTGGATTTTCATAAACTCAGCATGTGTTTATGGCAACTAAAGATGACTTATTATCATTTGTCCGCTCTCATGCTGTCCAAAATGTGATTGATCTTTTCATACAGATGCTGGCTAAATATAAAGGGCATAAGAAGAATGAAAACAGAGAAGGGCCTTATGGAGAGTTCTTTATGTTCTCTTTAGTGGTTAGCGGGAGGTAGTTGTGTCGGTGTGGTTGTAAATAGTAGCCGAGGGGAGAGCAGAGTTGGTCATTAAATGGATGTCAGGCAAGTGTTAATTTGAAAGCGCATGGCAGTGTTAATGTGAAACTGTGATTTTGTGATTATGTGAGAAATTCAGGGTCTCTTGCTGTTATTATATGGTGCTTCAGAGAGAATAAGCTCTTAGCAATCAGGTCATTTCCCATCAAATTCACACAATCAGGACTTACAGTAACTTATTACCTTTCACTCATGAGATTTTTTTTCCCCTACGCTAAAGAGTTTTGTCACTACTTTGTTTTATCATATGTATTTGTATATGTATACCTTTATAAATATTTATATTTGTGTAAATAATTACGTAATTAAAATATATAAAATAAATGCATACAGTATATAAATTATTTATATAATATAAAGTAAATAAATATATGCCTCTATTTTTTGCTTTTCTACCAGGTCAGTTTCATATATTTTTAGATTTAATTATTTATATAAATATATTTATATACATTTTATAATATATTTTATGATAACAGAAAGTAGCAGTGATTATATTTATTTATACTTTATTTTATAATAACACAAAGTAGTACTGGATCTTTTTCTTGGGGAAATATTTTCTGGTTTTCTCCCAGGTCAGTTTCATATTTTATATAAACATTTATTTATCATTTGTTATGTTATATGAAATAATAATTTAGTAATGTACAAAGCGTGCGTTATATTTATTGATCCTGAGTTTAATTTATTGCCAGCATGTGAACAAAATGAACACATGACTCCATAGCATACATGGTCTGAATGGACAGTTTGCAGAGATGTTGAGCTCTGTGTGCAATGCAGTGTGGTCAGTGATGACGCCTAATTTAACATCTCGACCACATCATATGTGTGCAATTGATTCTGCCTTCGTAGAGCAAAACAGTGTCTGTAGACATGTAGCTCTGTGGATGTATTGTTTAACACAGAGACATCTCCGCCTTTGATCTTGTCACACATACACACACACACACACACACACGCATGGGCAACCCATGCTGTGCCATATCTGAACACAGCAGTCCATTTGTTGGCCTTGCAGTGAGGTGTGAGTGTGATGTGAAGATCGTTGACTTATGAGTGCACACACACATGGTGAAGTGAGACTGACACACTGTGTGTAGACGGTGCACTGCTGTGTTGTGGTACATACTCTGGCTTCGCTCCCAGTGGGCCAGTGGTTACTGGCTAGCCTCTGAAGTTACGCTGCCTCTGCCACGCCACAGGGAACAGTCAGCTCGGCTCGCTGGACAGGGGGAACCTTTAAACCCAAGCTCTCCGGGACGCTGATTGGTAAAGGTCAACGCATAGTTACTTTTTAGCACCTTTTTCGATTTCTCATCAGGGCCAGAAAGGAGTATGTGTGCTTTCTGCATAAATTACGGGTGAACAATAGCTGGGAGGTAGAGTGGGATGCAAATAATAGCATAGGAGATGGAGATCTATTGTCGCACTGAATGATTGGCAAGCAGAGCTGGGTGGACAAGCATAATGAAAAGCACTCAGATTTATAATAATACAATTTATAATGTTATCTGGTAGGGATGCACCGAAATGAAAATTCTTGGCTGAAGCCGAAGCCGAACAAAATGAAACACTGGGCCGAAGGCCGTAGGCCAAATACCGAATACCGAACACGGTTTTTCACATTTCCCCCCATGTAGGCCTATTTTGCCATTGTTTTTTTCACCATTGCATTAAGTAAATTGCCAAAATGTGCTTTTTACTGTTTTGTCCTGCTGTTCAAATAAAAAATAAATTACAAAACAGCAATTTAAAAATATTTACTTAACACTGAACATTTTTTTTTCATTCTAGCAGACATTATACCAACAAAACACAATTTAACTTAAAATTAATAAGTTGCTGAGCAGAAAAGACTTCTTTTAAAACATTCGAATATATTACAGATGCCAATTTGAACACTATGTGTGAATGTTATAGGCCTAATAAATGTATTAATAGAGCTGTTGTAGGGTAATTATTATTATCATTATTATTGTCTTACTTTTTTATTTTATTTTACAGAACGACAGTAAAATTACAATACTATCATTTATGAATGTTGATGGAGTTGTTGCTTTTTCTCGGCTTTTATTTGGGCAGAAACCCACAGGAAGATCTCAGTGCTTCTTTTTGTTGACAACAGCATGCAGATTTATAAATGATTCTCATTACGAATTTGGGAAGATGTTTGTCGCACATATCACATTGTCACTTGCCTTTAGAAAAAATCACAAAAATGTTACTGAGCAACTGACGAGTAACAAGTTCAGCGCAGATTTTCCTCGCTCTTTGGACTTTGAACCCTGGCGCCACGAGCTCGTGCAGCGCTGTCAGAATACATGCAATTCATGCGTGCATTAGAAAATATAACATTCTACAGTTTATTTACTAATCGTTTAAAGGTAATTTCGCGTTTTCAATCATCATACAGTAACCTAACCACCAGCATTAGCCACCTCTTCTTCTCATCGGAGACGTGATGCAGCACTAAACAGTCTCTCGCTGTTGGTGCTTCCTGCATGTAATGATTTCTGCGTCTTTCTCTGATAGTTTTAAATACATTCACACTGCCGACATGTTTACTGCATTAGTGCGTGCCTCTATTTGATCGCGTTAGTCATTGTTCGGTACATATTATTCTGCCTTTTCGCTTATTCGCTTAATTTCGGTTGCCGAATATTCGGTGCATCCCTACAAAATGTGATTATTTTAAAAGTGGGGTGATTCTTTTCTATACCCACTGTACAATAAGGTCTGGGTACATAGAAAATGAGCACATAGTGGGACAACAGAGCTACATGAAATTGAAAGGAAATTACTGGCACGTTTAGAAAGAAATTACCTTAAAAATGAGAAAATAATAGCTGCGTTGACTCACTGTTTCTCTCCGAGGGAAGGTGAAACTTGTGAAAGAAAGAGGGTTATTTTGAGGAAATGTTTTGTTAGATCACAGAAACTATTGCATGATTTAGGAGGAGTTTCCAAATGTTTTAAGCTTAAGTTTAAGTGTGTAATTTCTCCACAAGTACATTACACACTTTGATAAGCATCAGACATATCAAACATTGGCTCAACCACTGTCTAACCACAGATAGAGGATATACCCCCCCCCCCCAAATCAGTTTATTTGAGCAATTTGAGCTGGTGCCACAGAAATGTAATGCTCGAGAAATGTGTAAAGTTGCAATGTAACGGAAGTAGCGGAAGATATTTTCTTCCACATTGTGGTGTGCATCTAAGTGAAATGGATTATCTAAAAAGTAAAAACTAAAAAAGTTAATGCTTTGTTCAATCCATTGGTTGTTGATTGGATGGAGACAGATATTAATATGAATTTGAGGTTAATTGTAGGAACGTGCTGGAGTTTAAGTGGATTAAATGATTGGAGATGTCCGCCAATCATTTAATCCACTTTTTGTGATTTTTTATTAAAATTAAAAAATTTAAAACAATTAAAAATATGACTGGATGAATTGTTCACAATAAGGTCAATATATTTAGAATATAGATGGGATGATTTTCATTTCTTGCCGATTTTCTTGTCACTTTGTCTCTAACTTGCACAATATAGCGTACAAATTATATACACACAATTGTAAAAGTTCAGAGTACTTTGAAAAATATCATGACTTTATCATGGTACATGGCCAAAAACCATGGCAATACCACTGTGTCGTGTGCAAAAGAAAATGGTACAAATCTTGTCTTTTTTTTATTATTGTTATTTTGTATTTCATTCGCAGACCCTGAGAAAGTATTTCTGTAGAGTTGGGTAAGTATATACCATATAACA